TGCGGGTCCCCACATCTGTACCCTAAAGTTCAGAGTGGGGAGGGAACATTGACACTATATTTCAGTGGGAATTGGAAACCTTTGCAAAACAGTGTTTTTGAATTTGCAATAGTCTAAAGCAGGGGTCGGCAACCTTTCAGAAGTGGTGTGCCGAGTCTTTATTTATTCACTCTAATTTAAGGTTTCATGTGCCAGTCATACATTTTAACGTTTTCAGAAGGTCTCTCTCTCTAAGTCTATAATATAGAACTATTGTTGTATGTAAAGTACATAAGGTTTTTAAAATGTTTAAGAAGCTTCATTTAAAATTAAATTAAAATGCAGAACCCCCCGGACTGGTGGCCAGGACCCGGGCAGTGTGAGTGCCACTGAAAATCAGCTCGCGGTCCGCCTTTGGCACGTGTGCAATAGGTTGCCTACCCCTGGTCTAAAGCATCTTCAATAGGCATTTCACTGAATACATTCAGAGCTTTACCAGTTAATTTTGCAGTCAGGGTAGGAACTCTCTTATCATCAGGGATTTCATGCACTGCTCACGGCCTTTCGACGGTGGTCAGATATTCAGCCAGATCATCTGCCTCACTGTATGCAGGACACAAAAGTGGTCCCAATTGTGGATTTTTGGAGGGATGGGAATCGCTGGGGTCGGTGAGTTCCGGTTCTGCTTCTCTAGCAGATTCAGTTGGTGTTTTCACTCTCTTTCTCTTTCCTTCTCCTTTATCTGCAGTTCTTTCAGGTCAATCATAGAAGCATAGAATATCAGGGTTGGAAGGGACCTCAGGAGGTATCTAGTCCCACCCCTTGCTCAAAGCAGGACCAATCCCCAACTGAATCAGTTGCAATAGTCTCTGGTGCTCTCTCTCTCTTTTTCTGCGACCTGCAGTCTACAAAGCTCCAACTGCGCAGTCACTTCACCGCTTTCACTCATTTTCCGGCTTTTCTGTCCCTACTTCCCTGTCCCGAAATAAGCAAACAGAAAATAACAAACCGGTAGCCACCTCCTGACTGTCCTTAGCCACCACACTTAAAGCCTCCCGTACAATCTTTACACCAGTGTATGAAATGCAAATCTTGCTCAGTACAACAAGCTGTGTATTTCACCCCGCTCGCTGCGCCACTGTGATGGGATCCCCGGGGTGCACCACTGTGCCCCCTTCTCTCTCCTGGGGTGTAGAGTATCCGAGCGGCGCTGCCTTCGGAGCTGGACTCCTGGCCAGCAGCCGCCGCTCTCCGGCCGCCCAGCTCTGAAGACAGCGCCGCCACCAGCAGCAGTGCAGAAGTAAGGGTGGCAATACTGCAACCCCTCTACAATAATCCCACCCCCCACACACACACACAACCCATTTTGGGGTCAGGACCCCCACAGTTACAATACAGTGACATTTCAGATTTAAATAGCTGAAATCTTGAAATTTACAATTTAAAAAATCCTATGACTGTGAAATTGACCAAAATGGACCGTGAATTTGGTAGGGCCCTAGAAATAAGGCGTTGCCCTTCTGTTCCCAGTGGAGGACAATGCGACTGCGGCCGAGCTATACAGCAAGGTGCGGATCCTGTGCTGGGTCATGACGGGCCCCAGCAACCTGGAGACCAAGGCCCGGCACGTCCAGGCCACGTGGGCGCGGCACTGCAATGTGGTGCTGTTCATGAGCTCGGTGCAGGACGACGGCTTCCCCACCGTGGGGCTGGATGTCAAAGAAGGCCGGGACCAGCTGTACTGGAAAACCATCCGGGCCTTCCAGTACGTCCACCAGCACTACCTGGAGCAGGCCGACTGGTTCCTCAAGGCGGACGACGACACCTTCGTGGTGCTGGACAACCTGCGCTGGCTGCTGGCCAACCACACGCCTGAGGAGCCCGTCTACTTCGGGAAGCGCTTCAAGCCCTTCGTCAAGCAGAGCTACATGAGCGGCGGGGCCGGCTACGTCCTAAGCAAGGAGGCCCTGAGGCGCTTCGTGGAGGGCTTCAGGACCCAGGTGTGCACCCACACCAGCCCGGTGGAGGACCTGGAGCTGGGCAAGTGCATGGAGAAGATGGGGGTGCAGGCAGGGGACTCCCGGGACACCCAGGGGCAGGAGACCTTCCACCCCTTCCCCCCAGAGAGGCACTTGACGGAGAATCTCCAGCTTGATTACTATTATCCCACCTACTCCTTCTACCCCATCCTGCTGGTGAGTGTCCGGGAGTCCCGGCTCAGGGCGGGAGTGGGGGGCAGCCGAGAGGTGGGTGGCCTGGTCAGAGGAATACTGGGCCTCATAGCTCTTAAGACCAGACCGTCATGGTCCCATGATTCCCAGCACTGTTCTTGGCTCCGCCCACCAGCCCAGCTCCGCCCACTCACTACAGATGGTGCTGATGCTGCTGTGTGGATGCCGTGGGGCTCAGTGTCCTGCTCTGTCCTCCCACTTCCCCCCAGTGCTGGCTGGGCCACATGAGCCTGCTGCAGCCTTGGCCAACAGATCTGGGTCTGCTGGCTCAGGCGTTTAGATCAAGCAGTCCTGGGTTCGATCCTCATGACCCAGCTGGTCGGCTTCAAGGCCAGCGGGGACCCTCATGAACCACGTGCTGAACCTCTGCTTAACCCAGGCCGGAGAAAGTCATCCAGCGGTTGAGGTGTGCACCCCTTCGCAGGCCATTGGGGGCAGGATTCTGGCTCTTACTGTGGTCCAGATCAGCTGTTTCCCCCAGTTATAAGCTCTCCGACCCCCGGGGCAGGTTTCTTTCCGAGCACAGTTGGTTGAATTCCCGTAGTCGTGTTCTCTAGCAGGGCTGAGCCACCATCTCTCCATCGGGGCGCTGTCTGGGCTGCGCTCCGTGTGATGGAGCCGTTTCTAAACCGCTGATAAAGGGTTCACAAAAGCAGACCAGGCCTTTGAATAAATAGCGACGCCAATATTAGCGCCACCAACACGCTTCTCGTAACGCTGAGGAGCTTCTAACCACCTATCACTCACGGCAGCAACTTGGTTATAACATAAATGAATCCTTTATAGCCAGACTCTTAATAGGCTGTAAGAGCCAGTAGCGTGACTAATGGTCCCTCTTAGTCACCGGCTCGTTAGGGTAAAACATTTCTGCCTTGCTGGGCTTTCTCCAGACCGGGCTGTGATGTATTAAACATAAGAATGGCCACACTGGGTCAGACCAATGGCCCATCTAGCCCAGTATCCTGTCTTCCGACAGTGGCCAATGCCAGGTGCCCCGGAGGGAATCATCAAGTGATCCATCCCCTGTTGCCCGTTCCCAGGCACCACACTCAGGGACGGCTCCAGGCACCAGCGCAGCAAGCGCATGCCTGGGGCGGCAAGCCGCGGGGGGCGGCGTGCCGGTCGCCGTGAGGGCGGCAGTCAGGCTGCCTTCAGCGGCATGCCTGCGGGAGGTCCGCCGGTCCCGCGGCTTCGGCGGCAATTCAGTGGCGGGTACGCCGAAGGCGCGGGATCGTGGGACCTCCCACAGGCACACCGCCGAATCCACGTTACCAGCGGACCTCCCGCAGGCATGCCGCCAAAGGCTGCCTGACTGCCGTGCTTGGGGTGGCAAAATACATAGAGCCGCCCCTGACCACACTTGCAAGTGACGTGGGAGTGGGGGGTTGACCTGTAATCTGATGAGGTTCAACAAGGACAAGGGCAGAGTCCTGCACTTAGGAAGGAAGAATCCCAGGCACTGCTACAGGCTGGGGACCGACTGGCTAAGCAGCAGTTCTGCAGAAAAGGACCTGGGGATTACAGTGGACAAGAAGCTGGATATGAGTCAGCAGTGTGCCCTTGTTGCCAAGAAGGCCAACGGCATATTGGGCTGCATTAGTAGAAGCATTGCCAGCAGATCGAGGGAAGTGATTATTCCCCTCTATTCGGCATGGGTGGGGCCACACCTGGAGTATCGTGTCCAGTTTTGGTCCCTCCACTACAGAAGGGATGTGGACAAATTGGAGAGAGTCCAGCGGAGGACAACGAAAATGATTAGGGGGCTGGGGCACATGACTTACGAGGAGAGGCTGAGGGAACTGGGGTTATTTAGTCTGCAGAAGAGAAGAGTGAGGGGGGATTTGATAACAGCCTTCAACTACCTGAAGGGGGGTTCCAAAGAGGATGGAGCTCGGCTGTTCTCAGTGGTGGCAGATGACAGATCAAGGAGCAATGGTCTCAAGTTGAGGTGGGGGAAGTCTAGGTTGGATATTAGGAGGGTGGTGAAGCACTGGAATGGGTTCCCTAGGGAGGTGGGGGAATCTCCTTCCTTAGAGGTTTTTAAGGTCAGGCTTGACAAAGCCCTGGCTGGGATGATTTCATTGGGGTCAGTCCTGCTTTGAGCAGGGGGTTGGACTAGATGGTCTCTTCCAACCCTAGTCTTCTATGATTCTATGTAATGTCTTCGGCCCTAAAGGGACCCCCTTTCCCCAAGTGCTGTGCTGCACGGCCGGCCTCTCCCCGCACGTCTGCGCATTGGGACACGAAGGTGGGGGATGTGGACTTGTGACTGGCAGCGGCTTGGGGCAGGGTGGCGTCAGTTGCTGCCCTCGGGGTGTAGCCGTGGTGGGTCCAAGGCCGCCCCGCTGACTCTGGGGTGGGATGCTGCCCCCGGGCCCAGCCGGCCTGAGCTTGGTTCGGTCTCGTCCCCACAGGGTGCTCAGAGCTGCTCGGATTTATCCATCTCCTTCCACTACGTCAGCCCGGAGGAGATGTACCTGTTGGAATACTTGAGCCGACACCTGCGCCCCTACGGATACCAGCCCCGCTACCAGCCGGCTCTAACGGCCTGGAACCGCACGGCGCCCAGGGAGGGGTGACTGGTGGGGGCTCTGCGGAGGGACACCAGCAAAGGGCGCTGAACCCCAAGGACCGGGTTACACCGGCAGCGCTTTAGAACCAGTGCGAGGTGCTCGATGCCTGGACCCACGGTGCCAGGGGGTGTATAAAGGCAACAGAGGGGAGGGAGGGGGTATTTGGCACTATAGCATGAGCTCAGAGCAGAGATATGGGTTGGGGGGGCTCTCAGGCAGGGCACCTCAGTGGGTTTGGGGGGAGGGTGTTCTTGGGCACAACCCCTGAGGGAGTTTGGGGAGCCCCCAGCTAACGGGGGGCAGATCCTGTCTACATATAAGGTGTCCTATCATCATTACAAACCTCCCTTCTCTTTAGCTACCTCCGGGTGAAACAAGGGTCCTTGGGGGAGGGGGGCGCCCACTGCACTGATCACGGGGGGCGGGTGTGGGCACGAGGCGCCCAGGGCCTCTCAGCGATGGGGGATTGAGCCAGCTGGCAGACACATCCCCTGTGTATCCCCAGGACAGGCAGCGTGTATCCCGGTGGCCTTCCTTAGGGGGTGCCAGGCTGTGGGGCCCGTTCGGGCCACGGGCTCTCTGCTGACCCAGTCCCCAAGGGAGCAGGTGCTGCTAATGGGAAGGCTCCGTTTCCCATCAGCCCCCACCCTGTCCCTGCCAGTCTGCCCTTTGCTGCCTGAGCTGGCAGGTCCCCCTGCCCACGGGGATGCTGGGGCAGCGCCAGCGTGCGCTAACCTCGGTGCCTGCGAGAATCCACTCGCTGGCCGCTCTGGGGCCCCGTCGGCGAATTCCCAGCTGCTCCCGCCAAGGCCATAAGCGGCCGGGGGAGGCTCAGGACCCGGTGCCTGGTTCCAGCAGGGGGCAAGGCAGCGACCCAAGCCCTGCCCCTCCCCGGCAGCTTCAGAACCCCCCTGCCACCCTTCCGATTTTCTTTGCTCGTGCCACGCGGGGCTGCGGGTGGCTCCTGCTGCTCGGCCACGGAGCCCTCGGCAGCCACGGCACGAAGATCAGTCCACGCCTCCCTCGGCTTCGCTGGGCCACTTTCCTGTGGGCAACCAAAATGCTGCTGCAGAGAGAGCCACAGGGGTCCCGTTTCCCCCCTCATCTCCCCTGCCTGAACCCCTCCCCAGCGCCCACCCCCCGCCCCAGCCCCTGCTTGCCCTGCAGGAAGGGTCGCGCCCGGCAGAAATAACCAGGCACACGCTACAGCTCTAAATCTGACATTGTTACGTACTTACAGTTACAATCCAAGAGATTAAAACGCTGTACACGGCCACTGGTGTCAGTGCCGGCTGGCCATGCCCACCCCCCCCACACACACACACGCCCCCCCGCCCCGATCCAGCCACGCCCAGCCTCCCAGACCCCCACTTCACTGCCAACGTCCGCTACCCGCTTCCCAAGGGGTAGAGCCACTGCGATGCCGCGCAGGCCGGTCAGTGACACCCCCCGCCCCCGGTTCAGACAAGTTGCCCCGACCCCTGGAGCCTACGGCAGCGCTGGCGGTTGGAGGGACGGGGCAGCGTCCCTGCCCCCTAGGCCTGGCTCTGGCCCCCCGGGGCCACCGCAGAGAGGGAGGGCAAGACTTTCTTTGTGCAACACAGTAGCCATACATTCATGAACTGAGCCGCCCAGCTGGTTTGGAAGAACGGGGGGGAGCTGGGGGCCGATTGCGGGCCCAGCGGACAGCAATGGAGCTCTCGGCCCTCTAAACTCATGGTCGGGCCCAGCCACTGGCCTGGACCCCCCAGCCCCCGAAGATCAACCCCCGCCCAGGCCTGGAATTAAAGCAAGAAACAGCGGGAGCGGCTTTCAACTCAGCATGGGGGGTAACGTGCCAGCCAGCGCCCCAGGCAGCGGCAGGGATGGCCGATTGGTGTGTGTGTGTGTTTGGGGGGGGTCTGTATTACCCTGATCACGTATCGAAATAAAGCCTGACACCACGTCACTCACAACAGCCACTTTCGGAGGCCTCGGCCGGGGGCCACACAACACCGAAGGGCCACGCGTGCCCTGTAAACAGTGTGCCGGGGGAGCTGCCAACCCAGCCTCGTCGAAGAGACAGCGAGCGGGAGGGAGGGAGGGAGGGAGATTTCTGGCACGAGCCAAATGCTCGGAGAAGCAAATAAATTAAAACGGGGTCCCGAGAGGAGGCTGGGAAAGGCCGGTCGATGGGGCAAGGGGACGGGGACTTTGTACAACAGGCATGGGTTGGAAGCTGGGCCTGGCCCTAAGGAGGCGCTGTGTCAGCTCCTGGATGGATGACCCAAGGGGGGGGGGGTCAATGCCCCATGCCAGGCAGCCCCCCCTCCCCCCGGGCCTGCGAAGGGATACTGCTTTTCAGAGAGGTGCTGGCTTTGAGGGGCGGGCGTGGGGCAGCCCAGCGCCTCCGGCTGGGTTTGGAGCATGAAACGGGAGCCTGGCTCAGTGGGCGCAGGCTGGCAACGGGGTGGGTGGGTTGGCGCCTCTGTCTGGGGTGGGGAGGGGGGAGGTGACCCTGCTGGTAAATAACAAGGGAACACCTGCTCTGCATTTCTGCCTGAGCCATCCAGGGCCCACCTTTTCTACAGCAGGGCGAACCCAGGCGTCCTGACTCCCAGCCCCCACCAGCTCCCACGCCCCTCCCAGGGCTGGGGATAGAACCCAGGCATCCTGGCTCCCAGCCCTCTCGCCCCCGCTCTACTCATTGGACCTCACTCCCCTCCCACAGCCATGATACAACCCAGAGGTCCTGACTCCCAGCCCCCCCGTTTTAACCCATCAGCCCCCCACTCCCCTCCCAGAAACCCCAGTGGAACCCCGGCGTCCAGCCCCACACACCGCAAGGGGCTGGCTGAGGGCCCCACTCCCACTCGCCTCACAAAACAGTAGCAAGGAGACTGTTGCCCTCTGGTGTCTGCGCAGGGCCAGTGCACCTAGTTGGGAGCCCCCAGCCGCAAGGGTGGGGGGCACAGCTGTGTTCCCCTCCCCCCGCCCCCGCCATGGTGGAGACAGAGAGCAGGGGAATGGGACGAGATGCTTCCCCTCCCCCGCCTCATGGAATGGGAGGGGGCGCACAGGGACTGGAGGTTCAGGGCTGTGGCAGCTGGATCAGATGGATTGGGGGGGGGGGGATCACCCCCACCCCCGCTAACGTCAGCCCTCTCCCCTTGCTGCAGGTCCCTGTCTATCCAGGGGCAGGCTGGGAACCCAAACACCTTGGCACAACACTGAGCACGTTTCACCGTCAAAGCTCATTACGGACAGGAACGAAGGATCCCTCCCCACCCCGGCCGTGTCCTTAAACCCCACGGGAAGGGTGGGAGGGTGCGGCCCGTGGGGGTCACAGGGCAAGTCACTGACAGACCTGGGAACAGAACCCAGGAGTCCTGGCTCTCAGCCCTGTGCTCTGACCACTAGACCCCACTCCCCTCCCAGAGCCAGGA